CACACACACACACACACCCACACACCCACACACACACACACACACACACACACACACACACGAAAGAGTTACATTTGGGTAATAACTTGAATATGGACTCCTAGCTATAGTAAGGGGAGAACATCACAAACCATGAAGTATCTGTTTAACTCTTACAGAGGTTTAGGAAGTAGAGTTTAAAAAAAAGGCGACACATTTATATTTTCACAAAGTAGCAGAGATATAACAGGTTATAAGGTGCTAAGTGAAGTTGCTTTGTTCAGCATCTCATAGTGAAAGTAACTGCTGCATATAGAGCTGTAAATAATGTGCAAATGATATATTTTCATTCATTTAAAGCCCTGAAAGAGTACAAACACAAACATGTATGCCAACTGACCGACTGTGTGTCTGGCAGATGTTTGTAAGAGTGTCCAGATGGTGGGTTTCCAGGTCGGAGGAAGAACTTCTACACTGACTCTCTAGAAGATGGAGACACACAGAGAGACACAGGCAGGTAAAAGCATTGTTACAGCTACGAGGAAGACAAGAGCATGCTCTCCTGTAGGCAATACAATTATGAACGTAATGTAGGTCCACATCTTATGGAATGTAATGATACGATCAATAGAACTATATTATGAGGATCCCATGTACGAGACACAGAGGCTGCAGTCATACAGTTGAATCGTTTTATGCTTATATATTAGTTTTAGAAACATACATTTCTATTATAATGTATAAGTATTTTGTTAAACAGACAAACATGTATATTAGGGTTGTACTTACACAGTACATGCATCTGGCCCATGTTTGCTGTGTGTGCATGGTTCTTACCCCACTGCCCTTGGAGTGCATTCAAGTTGTCCAATACTCTCTGGTGATAGAGTCTCTCTAGTTGAATGCACCATAATGCCCGCTGGTCTGAACATCACAGGTTAAGAAACTCATAAAAACACACACAAATGCAGACACACACACACGACTCAGGGAACGGGTTGCCTCAGGTAAAAGTCAAAAAGAAGTGAGACAGACAAAATAGGAGGACGAAGAGAGACGGAGGCAGAAATAGAGTCGGGCCAAAAGAGACAGAGGAAGAAAGCTCTCCAGGATGCAGTCGCTCATGTTTATGGATATGAGCCGGCAGAACACAATCCTTCTTTGACATGGCTAGATGCTTTCTCTCCCTCTCCCCAAGTAACCCTCTATACATGCATGACATAGCTACGCTAGCTCTCCTGTGACTCTTATCGTTTCCTCCATCCCACTTTGTCTCTTTCCTCTTATTAAATCAGTCAAAGCTTCCAATCCTTTCCCATGCACACTCTCCTTCCTTTATTCCTCTCTTCCGCTTTTTCATTGACTGCAAGTGTTATTTATATAAGAGTCTATAAGGCGGCATACATGCCAACCTTTCCAAATCCAAAAGAGGTAGGTTTGCGCGCGGCAAATGTGCACGCCCAAATGAGGTAATCAGAAGAAATGGAACCCCAGTAATGACATGTATAAACCATGTATTTAACATATATTGCATCATTTTATGCATTTTTCAGAAAAAGTGGTAGTTTGGTATCAACGACATAGTCTGGTCTGTAAAATGCCCGAAAAGTAAAAGAATGGGAGATAAATATCCCAAAGTCTCCACATTTTATTATATTTTGAATGTGTTTCTGGTCCTCTTTCAGTTGAGACAGTGTAGATGAAGGATGTGTCAGGATGTAGAACTCTTGGGTGAACATTGGTTCATATTCTTGTTTCATGTTGATGACATATTAGAGTCAAAGGTTTGCACAGAGCGAAATATCTTAGTGTTGCGCCATAAATCAGAAAATACTGCATTAAAAAAGTAATTTCTTACATTTTTCTACTGATAACATGTGATATAAATAATGTACAGGCTTTCAGATTGCCGTAGTTCACTAAACAGAGACATTAACGACATGTTTGGTGTTGAAAATGTCAGAAAAAGTGAAAGAATGGGAGATAAATATCCCCAAATCTCTAAATTGTATTATATGTTGTGTGTGTTTGTGGTCCTCTTTCAGTTGAGACACTGTAGGATGCTTCCGGAAAAGACCAAACACTGGATGTCTTTCAGTCGCCAACATGTGTTTTCGAGACACTGATATTAACGGGGAAATCCTGCAGGACTCAAATGCTTCGTCGGGGGTAACGCTGCCCTTCCTCTGCACGTTGTTTCTCTTTCAGAAACACAGAGGACTGTTTGTATGATGCGATCACAGACACACTGCAAACGGTGTCCACCAAAAGTCGAGTCCAGTGTCTATGGAGTGTCATTTTTATTTGTTATAGTTTGGGAAGATTGAAAATCGGTAGGGAAAGCCAGCTAAGTTGGTAGGCGGTAGAAACATGTCAAAAGCGGTAGACTACCGCCCAAATCGGTAGAGTTGGCAGGTATGCTATAAGGTTGTGAGTATGCACTGTAGGTGAAGATCAATAGGTTCTTTGGTTCAGAAACAACGAACCTTTTGATTTGCAGCTAAAAAGATCAGCTAATTAGCATCTTTAAATGAATCTCTATGTTGATAATCATTATTTACTTGGGAAATACCTGTAAATGCTGCAATCTTTCATCATTGTTTTGGCAACATGATGTGGTTTTCTTTCCCTTCATGTTTAATCTGAGTATCTTCCCTCTGTGTCTTCTTTCTCTTCTCGTGTGAGCCTCTGTTCATTTTGTAGAAGCCAGCTCAGCTACCGGTGCTTTTCCTCTCACTCTGTTTCACCTTATGTAATAATTACCCCTCTCTAGGTTCTCCTTATCTATTCTGTTACTGTCATGCCTCCTCGTCTCTCTGTTCAGTTATTTTCTGCTCTTTTCTTCTCTGTCAAATGTCTTTTGATCTCTTATTAAGCTCACTTTTTGAAGTCAGTGAGGCATCAAATAATCCACTGAAATGAGTGCGACAAGTTACCCCAAATTCTACAGCTCTAAATCCAGTGTGTGTAAAAAACTGATTATAAAACATAGACAAGAAGAAGTTAGCCTAAGAAAAACACATGAATAAAAACAGAGTAGAGCAACCAACCGCAATACACACAGACACAGACACATAGTGATAAGGATACAGTCTTTGTGAAAGACAAAGGTCTCGGCAATCTGCAGAGAGAGAAAGAGACATTTGATAACGTGCGTGATTGTAATATATTTTTTAGGCTTTTACCCATTCAGTTTGTAACAAAAGCTATCAGAAAAAATATGTCACAATAAAGGTTCAAACCAGACTAAAACCATTCATCCAAAAGTGGCCTTTGAACGTGATACATGAGTCAAAATCAGTCAGAGAAAAGGTTGGTCTGATAAAGAACAAGAAAATATGTAAAAAGAACACCAATAAAGAACATACATCAGAAACATCAATCTGTCCAGAGCTGTAACTGTTCTGCTGCTGAAAGGAGTTCTATAATCATTAACTTTGACACAAAAACATGGTTAAGAAACTTCCTAGCATTCAGGAGAGACAGAGAGAAAATGAGAGTGAGAGTGAAAGGCAAGACGGAAAGACGAGAGACCGTCGTAGACACTCTACCTCTCTTCAGCAAGTGTCGTGTTCATGCTGCTCAGCTGATCTTAGAACAAGAGAAGTGTGTGTATGTGAGAGAAGCAGAGAGAGGGAGAGAGAGGGGGAGAGAGAGAGGGAGAGAGAGAGGGGGAGAGAGAGGGAGAGAGAGAGGGCGAGAGAGGGAGAGAGAGAGGGGGAGAGAGAGAGAGGGAGAGAAAGAGAGAGGGAAAAAGAGAGGGAGAGAGAGAGAGAGGAAAGGAGGGCACAAAAGGCTCTCGCATTTTAATGAGGGGGGTGGTGACGACTGAATGACCTTTATAGTCTACTGTACTGACGTGATTCAATTTGATGATCCAGGGTTTCCCCCTTAGAAACTGTGACAACCTACACTAAGAAAATGCAAAATAAATATATATGAAAAGTAAACCCATTTAAAATTACCTAATGTTCCTCATTCAGCTTTTTTGTTTTAAATAAATCTTAATCTAAAAAAGCAACACTCAGTTACATTTTTTACACCTGATCTCTAGAGGTGAGCATAACTTCAGCATATCATATTCACTGTTTTCAAAGTAGTGGTATTTAAATTCCCTTGAGTGCTGTCAAATTCAGCAAGTAGAGCTTTAATTATATTTTCAACATTTTTAACTAACAATTTTAAATATTTTTGCCACATTAAGAGCATCCAGATAAATCCAGTAAATCATAATATTTTTTTATTAGACCAGCAAACAGTTGAGAATCGACTTGTTCTGGACATGTTGTTTTTTATAGTCAATGAAAGTGAAAAGTTCCTTTTCCTTATCATTGTTATCGTCAAATAAAAACCATTAGGCGGTCAGCAGGGTTGTGCAACATTGTGGGAATGTAAATAAATGGCCCATTTGTGTGACGTCATGTTGTAAAAACACTACAAATAGACTTCATACTTCAGTACTATTGTTGTCCATTAGTACTTGTAAATGATTTGGACATTTCCAACTGCACGGGCAGCTTCATTTCCGGGCAGCTAGTTAAGAAAAGACGGAGTGTCAGCTGTTACACCAACTTCTGGGCAGGTGGGGAAAAGTGCCTTTTTATTTTTTAACCTTACTTTTTTGTGCTACTAAAGTTTACTGCAGCAAAACATATGGGGTTGTTTACTGCCCACTCTCACTCCCTGGTTAAATGACTGGCCTAAACATGACGTTGTGTTGCGTTTCTATAAAAAGTTGAGTCTGTTAGATCACCTGATTTTGTGAGAATGTGGCCTTATACTTACCACGACCCCCCTGCCCCCCCTCTCTCTCTCTCTTTCTCACACTCAAACACACACACACACAGACACACACCTGTTTGCCTGGAAGAAAGAGTAGCTCAGGTGTGACTGGTGGAAGCACGTGTAAATCAAACTGACTGAAATATTCACACACCCTGTAATGTACATGTTCAGTCATGCAGGTTTGCAGTGTGCTAGGGTTAAGTGCGTACATATCTGTTGTTGTATTAGAATACAGACGCTGAAGACACCCATGCCTTCGGCTTCAAAGTGCCACTACGATTATAGTGTTGATTGGATAACAGTGATTTAATAACCTGTGCGAGAGAGCTAACATTACAGATACTAAAATGACTGAAAGACAGCAAGAAATAACACTTAAAGAAACCATTAAAGGGGAGAAAGTCTTCTGAAGTGAATGACTGGCAGAAAGAGTGGTGATAAGCTTGAAGTATTTGACTTAATATGCAGGAATATAACAGGGAGGTTACCTGGTGAAGGTACTGTGGAAGGCGGATGTCATCTCCTCTTTGTGCCAACTCCTCCAGAGACTTCAGCAGTGCAGAGCTCAGAATAGGCCCGGTGGAGTCTGACAGACAAGTGGGCACTGGAGTGGAGGTAATGTGTTTCCAACTGGAGCTCAAAGGTCCTGTGGTGGTAGTGGATTCTGGGCCTGCAGTCGTAGGCCGTGTGTTAAGGGGTCCCGTGGTTGAACTCAGAGGGGTGGAAGCAATGGAAGTATTATTCCTCGTAGTGCAAGTAGTTCCTGTAAATGGCTCAGAGGTAAGATGTTCTGTAGGGAAGTCAGTATTTTTTGCTATTCTGTCTGCAGCTTCTGTGAGACATGTAGTCCCAGGTGGGAAGGTGCCTGAGGTTAAAGTAGGTGCAGTAGAATTAATAGGCCCCGTGGTGAAGGTGGGTGCCAGTGTATTGGACCCTGTAGTGGAGGCAACTGATTCAGAGTTATGAGAGTCCCCTTTGATAGCACTCTGGCCCTGATCCACTCCACTGATGGTCTCTGGACTGACCACCAAAGGGGATGTAGGCTCTGGACTGGTCCCAGGGCTGAAGGGATATGGAGTCTCCAGCAGACTGCCTACAGAGGGAAAGAGGACAGCAGCAAACAGAGAGAAAAGTTAGAGAAATAATAATTAGGGGCACAGCGAAAGTGTTGCAACAAGATAATTTGCTTACGGCTGTTTAAAACTCCTGATGACACAGGTGTATAAAAGCTGTAACAATTTGATACTGACAATTATATTTGAAACTAAATTAAGAAGATCATGTCAGCTGCCAATTCACCAAATTGTTATTATACGTATAACTTCTATAAGTATCGGAGGGTTACTTTGGGTTTTAAATAAATGTTTGAACAGGGTTTACATCGATAAACTTCAGATTATTTTATTTAAGTGAAGGAAGATAGATTGGAGCAACAGTTTAACTTAATTTACAAAGAAAGCAGAACATCTCCATATTTTAGGGGCTGAAAACTGCATTTTCTGACATTTCTGCATGAAGAATAACTTTAATGATGAACTGATTAACAAAATAGTTGATCAACACCTGTTGATAAAGGCTACGGAGGTTAGTCATGGATGACTGTGTAACTAGCACAAGTCTGCTTTTAAACAATCTGATGTTTTTTTAGAATTGGGCAGTGAATGCTTGATTTTTGTATCTAGTGTTTTAAGTTCCTGTTTGTATAGCTTTTCAAAGGGTTGGCTATTTCTGAGCTAAGCTAATACCAGTCTTTTGATGGAATAGGGCACTTGAAACCACAGAGAAAAAACTGAGCACACACAACTTTCACACTCTGTCCTTACAGGCTCATTGCTCCTTCTTTAAACACCCACACTGCAAGTAGATTATTACTCTTTGTACCCGATTGGGGAGGTTAACAGCCAGTGTAGAATCAAATCAAATCAAATGTAGTTTTATTATCCAATTCATTGAAATATGTGATATATCTTTCACACATTAACCAACAAAAGTATCTCAATTACGTTTCATGACTACCAGCAGGCCTTATTATACAAACCTCCTTAACATACACATGTAACTATGGGAACTGTGTTAAGCTAACATTTTCACAATAGCTTACACACTGTTTGTCCCAAATGCGGCATCACTGGAGAGACCTAGAGCACAATTGAATGCTTACCAACACAGCAACTATTTATTTTGTGTGTGTGTAAAGAAAACAGGTAAAAATCAGGAAATTAAACTATTTGGTTTGAAAAACAGTGTTATTGATTACCATGTCTGGCAAGCTTGAAAACATATGTGTATCCCTTTTTTCTTTTCTGGTCTTTTAATCATTCTTCTCATCTAATCCTCTCATACATTTCGTCTCTATCTCTACCAGCAGCCTCCTTAAATCTGATTTGCTTTGTTTCACTCCCTCAATCTCATCATGTGATCAGAATGACCTAATCACTGCCGTCAGCCTGACCTCAATCCATAATGCTGACCACTTACAAAAAAAAAAAGACAAAATAAAAAAGCTTTCCAACAGAGAGTAATCCAGATCCTGACCCGAGTGTTGTTCTTCACTGCACTCTGTCAAAGCACTGTTGATACATTAATATTCAGTCAACAGTTGTGAAAGTGTCAAATGTTTTTTTAATATACACTGCACTTTTTACTATTTCAGATGGTTTGATTGTCTGTACACTGCACATGGTTTTACTGACTTTACTGAATCAGACAGAAAGTGACTTGTTGCTATTTAAAAACACTGCAGGTAAAAATGTAACATCCATGGGCCAATCGGCCACACGCAGGTCAGGTTAGGTTCCAGGATAAGAGATCAACTCAGTGAAAGCACCGCCTGCTGACCAATGAGAGCTCAGTGTGTGGAGTTTAAAGCTATCAAGTCATATTACAGGATAGAGGAAATACAGAAAAACTGCCGTTGATGATATCATCATATATTTCCTTATCCGAGTCAGCTTCTTGAGCCGTATCTGGCCATGCAACACTCAGTGTCACATACTGTATGCAGAAGTATTATTTTAAGCAACACATTAAGTTGACGAAACACTTTATTCAAATGTAATTAAAGTCAGATCCACTCGTGTCTTAGACGGGGCAGTGATATCATACACCTGTTAATGTATTCAAACACTTTTTCTTTTGCCAGCTGTATTCACCTTGCAGCTGCAACTATGTTGCTTGTGTCCTGGATAAAGTGTTTAAGTCATGGATGTTTTAAAGTTTAACGTCTTCATATTTTTCTAATATTATATTTTACTTTTCATTCAGGAAGTATGACCCTGCGCTGTCAGTATGCTTGTCCATGTTTGTGATTGATCAAATGTTGCTAACCCCGCCCCTTTCATGTGAGCGGACCGAGAAACCCTGGCTTGAGTTACCGAGTTGATAACCAGCGTCGTAGGATCGCTTAGCGAGATCGCGTTTGTTTTGGGTTAGTTAAGCCAGAGAACTCTTAACATATCCAGGGTATGTTGAACTGGATTCGTAGTACAGGCCTCTTGCCAGACACCTAATTGCTTGTTTGGCGACTCATTAACCAGGATGTAAGCACTATAAGGAAACATACAGTAGGTGTGTGTACCTGGAGAACACCAATGGAACTCAACAGAGCAGAGAGAGGTGCTGTTTTCAGCCGTTCCTTTAGTTTCCTTTTGCAACATTTCTGAGATCTTCTGCTATGTGTGTGTGTGGTTCTGTGAATTGTGTTTCATGTTCTGACAAAACTGTGCCCGTTATAATCAGGCTTAGGTATTAATAAAATGCCCAGCTGTGTAGCCCTAAGCTTGTTGTGGTTTTCTAATGCCTCTAAATGGCCAACAAATGTACTACCGAGAAACAAAGATGTCTGTACTGTGTGGGAAGTGTTTGTCTATGGTTGTATATGATAGGATTTTCTCATTCATGTGTGTATGTTCCTTACCTGTTTCTGAATAGGAGGAGTCAGTCATGGGAGTGTCTGGAGACTGGCAGCGCATTAGACAGCTTGATTCCTCTGAATCTTCCTCGTCTTCTTCATCCTTCATCACCTCATCAATGTCTTCTTCCTCATCCTCTCTACCTCTTTCTGTGCATGCTGCCTTTCCCTGCTCCTCTTCCACGTCCTTCCCATTGTTGTTGACTGAGGCTTTTTGTATGAGCCCTCCTTCCTCTTCATTTTGTCTCTGTGCGAGTGTGTTTGTCTCGTTGAGATTTCGAGTTTGGGCAGTGAGATCTTCAGATTTAGGAAGGTTATCACAGAGGTCAACCTCTCCCACTTCAACTTGTGACATTACTCTGTCCTCCCTCGCAAGCTGGCCTATAAATAAAACAAAGGATCAGTGTTTCTTAATTCCATAAATATCAATACAAATATATATATATAACTCCTATGAATATCTTTAAGTTGATTTCATATTAACAGGTCAGCTGCAACTTGGGACAAAGCAACCGAGGACAGAAAAAAAAAACATTCCCAACAATCATATTAGTATTTATATTGTGGTTTTCAAGTTGCTGTACTACTTACATATGTCGAGATGATATTATGTGTTCCGCTTTAGTGAAATGTAGACACTCACCACCATGATCCATCGGGCAACACCCTCAAAACGATTGAGCTTTCAGCATGAAGGTCAACGCCGCCTATTACACAAGCACTTCTTCAAGCCTGCAGAGATAAGAAAAACCAGACAGAAAACAGATGCATATCAATAACAGAAGGCATGAAAAGACAGATAAAGTCAGACTCTACTCAGGTGACAGGGAGAGTGAGAAAGGGAAAGATACAAAACAGGTCTAGCATCATTCCCGAGTTGTCAAACCAACCCTAAGGCTTAAACTGATTTTTTTTATTTTTTTTAAATACTCCAGAATAAAGTCCTACCAACAACACATTGTACTGTAGTGTAATACCACAAACACATGTGTTGTACACTGTAATTTGACATGGGAATTTTACAGCCCAGATACAGCCCTGACTATAAATAACAAACGAAAATACAACAAAACAAACAACTGAACACTGTGTACAAGTCCTTCACGATTAGGATACCACCAACTAAATAGAGACTTAGTTTTCTCACCTATCCAAAGAAAAATCAGCATCTACTGTACTTGCTCACAAGAATAAAGCTTAAATGCATATTTTCTTTTGTTTTCTGTATCACTAAGCAAATTGTTCTGCTTGTAACCCTGTTTAACATTCAGCAAAACACATTTAGAAATAAAAAGCCTTGACAAATAGACCTTGCTCAACATTGATTCCCTGTGTTCATATTAAAACACGTATGTAGTACATATATTTGTAACACATACAAGTGCCACAGATTAATATGTTGGTTTATTAACACTAACACTGAAATGAGAAACTCTAGGATCATCTTGCCTTAAGGTTGCATAAGATTAGATACATTTTAAGGAGACTGGCAACACCTTATGGATAAATGCTTTATGAATAAATATAAAAATAGGAAGCTAAGTTTGCTTTTCTAGCTATGAACATAGCTCTAAGATACAAATAGAAGAGAGTGTTGTCTTGTTGTCTCCAGGCTCTCATTGTCCTCTGGAGGATAAAACAGTCCCTGCCCATGACAAACATCTGTGATATTAAAGACTGATGCAACAACAACCTCCTGTTTATACACACAGGTGTTACTGTCCCCATCACACATGTTTTTTTATGATTTAAGGGTGTATTCATCCCCCACAGAGCCATCTGTCTATACAACCGTCCATCCTCTCCTCTCTTTTTTCTGCACCCTACTCCATGGGGGACAATGAATAATGAAAGACAGAAGAAGGGACAAACAAAACAAAGGGTGGAGGGAACAGACACTGTCCAGTGAGAGGCCACTGCAAAGACTTCTAACATACAGCAGAGCTACAGACAGGCAGAAATATAGGTTAACGCTATATGTCAGGTTATGTTTACATAAAGACTTGTTTTAAACACCTAAACTCACTTGTTTTTCCATTTCCTTGTTTAATCACTGAAGTGTCAAAAGCAAGACAGAGCACAAACCCCCTCTGTCCTGTCACCAAACCAGTCTGGGGTGAACTGTAAGATGGCCAAGCCACCCTGTAAATCAACACTTTGTACTCTTTACTCCACTACATTTATACAACAAAATAACAATAGTTACTTTACATATTCACATTATAAACTAATAGGCCTACAACATATAAATAAACAAATACATAAACTATGATATAAAATGAAAGGTTAAGATTTCGAGGCGCAGCACATAGGGTAATTAAATTAGCTTTACATTTACCAGCAGTGATGAACACATTAATGTATTTATAATACTCCAGTAAATAAATATATATGATTATAAAATGGAACATTACGAACAATAAGTAGTAGTTTACTTTTGGAACTTTAAGTATATTTTGATACAATACTTTTGTACTTTTTTGTAATATTTTGTATGCAGGACTTTTACTTCTAACAAAGTATTTTCAGACTGGAGTATTCCTAATTTTACTTAGGTAAAACATCTGAGTATTTCTTACACCTCTGTCTAGACTGTATATGTTGTGCTTCAAATGCAGCCTTTTTGATAGCAGCGCTTGCAAATAAAAACCTCTATAAGTATGTTGCATGAAAAAATGAGACAATAGGTATTTTCTATTCTAAAATCTAGCAAAAATAGCAAATTAGACGTTGGCTAAGATATTTGCAGTCATTGCGCATTTAGTCATTTAAAGAGGTGGGGCATAGTTGTTGGCTAGATCACTAGTTTAGGCCAGCAAGTCCATAACGTTAAAGCCAACTTAAAATGTGCACAGGGCGTTTGACTTTAAAATATGTCTATAACTTTATATATTTAATGTAAGCTGTGGTAACATTACCTTGATGACCCGAGGAAGTAAAAAAAAACTCAGGTGACAGCAGTCATTTCCACCATGACACTGTTACCAATAACTGGTTGTTAGCGAACCGACGGTTAACTAACGTGTAATCATTATTAAGTGTTTTGATGTAGAGCTAGCATGTTACGAAGGTTTTTACAATTTGATGAAACATCAGGAGATTAGCCTGGTCGCTATCGTTACGGATCATGCGCAGTGTTGATTTAACGTTATTGACAGTGTTCTGTTTCATCAAATTGTAAAAACCTTTGACCAGCTAAAGCTAACATTAAAGCTAACTACTATCCATAAACACGTAACGAAACAGCAACACAAAACGCTACGGCATGCAATTAGTTAGCGCTAAGCTAGCCGATAGATAACACATCTGGCCATCATATCACGGAGAAAACCTAAAAAAAGACCCATTTAATTTACATAAATGCGCTTTTAAATATTAGCTAGTGTACACTACAAGGTCTACCACACAAACAGTGAATCCATTACTTACGGCTGAAATGGATGGCTGAATGTTAACAGCTGTGGCATCAGACTCTTTGCTGGGGATGTTGTTGTACTTGTACTGAATGAAGGTGTTTCCGACAGACAGACAGGGGTCGTCACCGTAGGTCGTTCCTGTCAGCAGGCCTCTGCTGCTGCTGCTGCTGCTACTGCTGCTACTGCTGCTGCTGGGAGAACGGTGCACTGTCGCCATCTTCTGCTTTTACTCTGTCAGTACCATTCATCATATTAAAGTGATCAGTGGATTTATTTTCAGGACAAGCATCAACAATAATGCAAGCAATTTAATCTAGTGCATTTTCTCTAAGATTACTTATATCCACTTTATGGTGTTTGCAAAGCCAGCTGTTTGCAGTGCTTAAACATGTAATAATTTAGATCATAAAATACTGTGTGTGGACTCATTTAAATCTGAATCCTAGTCTAAAAATGACAAATAATCAAATCTACCAAATAGTGAAACACTTTTCATTCAGAACCCATATTTACTCACCGGTAGAATATTTGATAAATGACAGATGGACAATATTGTGCACACTGCTGTGAAAACTGTGCTCCAGCTTCTACTGTGTCCTGCAGGAGTACATTAGGCAGCCAAGCTCTACTCTGTGACTCACAGGTGAGGTGGCTCATTTGGGATGTTTTAACACAGTTAGAGGGATCAGGTAGGGTCATGAACAAGTGGGAGATTAATTGTTTGAATGATAGCTGCAACCTGCAGCTGACAGTTTTGCAACTCCGGCACCATGGACCTTGGTACCAGACCTTGGGAGTGAAGAGAGAGCTAAACCACAAATTAAAGCTCGAGATATCTCGTTACCTCCATCACTTTTACAAGTATCTGGAATAAGATGCCTCTGCAAGGGAGCTGGTCATACTCTGAGAGACAGGATAACTTGCCGTTTCAGGGGACCTTGGTATCCAGCCTCCTCCACGCTGAGATAAACAAGCATATAATCAGAATACCTTTATTAGTCCCACAGAGGGGACATTTACAATGATGAAATGAGATTAACTGGTTTGAGCTTCAAATAAGAAAAGCCCAAGAGGTATCTGCCAGGTCTCCTCACTCCACTTCCACCCTGACCTCAATCAATAGCTACAAAATATGATACATCTTCATATAAAGATGTGAGGCCAATTTGGATTGTTGGCTCATGTATAGAGACTTGAGATAAAGTGTTCAGTGGCTTTAAGAACTAAAACAATATAATGTTTCGCCTTAGTGTTGTAGTCTGCCTTTCAAGATTTGGCATTATTATCTAGATGTTAATTGAACACAGCCATTGCATGCTATTGTATTCATAGCTTGTATAGTCAGGTCAAGCAATTAGGCCAAATAGAACAAGCACCTATAGATGCATATTTAATAGCTTTGAATAAGAACAATTGCCAGTGTAGCAGCACTGCCAGGCCATCACTGAGTGCTTCGAGGCAATGTGTGTCCATCTTCCATCACCACTGCCTATTACAACTGGGAGTCTGTGAAGTAAAAACATGTGGTACTGTTCTGTGTTCTGTGTGCCTCTGTATAATCCTAGCAGCAATGAGTATGAGTAGTATAACTGATGCTGTTTCAATCACATTAGTATGCATACAAAGTTACAGGTGGTCACGCCCCCAATTATGCTAATGAGCTAAATCCCGCCTCCCTTTGTTCGAGGTGTTATCACATGTAGGTGTGATAACCTTTGATGTGAGGGGTGAGGTGTTATCACACGTAGGTGTGATATTCCCCCCTGTAATAGCGACTTTGTTGTCTAATCTAATTAGCCTTAGATGTCTGTCCTTTGATGTGAGGGGTGAGGTGTTATAGCGTGTAGGTGGGATATCACCGGCATGTTATAAGCCTTTGATGTTAATCTATGTGTTGATTAAGGCAGTCTCTTTGAAATTGTGTGTGAGCCTGTCTTGCACCCCGTCCCCTCGCACCCCCGTCCCCCTGTCGCCCCTTCCTGTCACACCCCCCATGTGAGGGGTGATGTGTTATAGCGTGTAGGTGCAATATGTCCCCATCTAGTACAGCTTTTGTTGTCTAATCTAATTAGCCTCTGATGTATGCCCTTTGATGTGAGGGTTGAGGTGTTATAACATGCCGGTGTGATATCGCACCGGCATGTTATAAGCCTTTGATGTTAATCTACAGTTGCAAGAAAAAGTATGTGAACCCTTTGGAATTACCTGGATTTCTGCATAAGTTGGTCATAAAATGGAGGAAGCCCACTGCTGTCCCAGAAAAAAGCATCTGCTCACTGCGAGGGTCGGAGAGAGAGAGACCAGAGCGTCTGCTCGCTGCGAGGGTCGGACAGCACTACTGGCAAACTATTCTGTGGACAGATGAAACCAAAGTTGAGTTGTTTGGAAGGAACATACAACGCTATTTCACTAGCAGGAACCACGCCACAACAGTGTGATGTTTGTACGTTTATTGAAGTAACATGTGAATGATATGAGGGGGGTGAAGGGATGATCTGGGAGGACGAGCTATGGTCCGTGCAGTGGGAGACTCAGAGTGGGGGTTCCGTCTCCGGCATGATCTGCGTGGGCTGATTACGGGCCCCCCAGACGATACCTGGAATTAAGGTGTTAGTATACACAGTATATAAACATGCACCGTTTAAATATAAATGGTGACGGGCAGAGGATGTTGGGATGAAGGGATGAAGGGATGAGGGATGGAGGGATGTAGGGATGAGGGATGTAGGGATGAGGGATGAGGGATGAAGGGATGAGGGATGAAGGGATGAGGGACGGAGGGATGTAGGGATGAGGGATGAGGGATGGAGGGATGAGGGATGAGGGATGAAGGGATGTAGGGATGAGGGATGGAGGGATGTAGGGATGAGGGATGTAGGGATGTTGAGGGGAGGGAGGGAAGGAGGGATGGATGGATGTATCGCTCGGTGTGATGTGGAAGGGGAACTGTATGGGTAGAAAGGGAGAGGGAGGGTGGGTTGAAAGGATGGAGACGAGCAGTGGCCGGAAGTTTTGCCGGATATAAATAGGGGAGTTTTAGGCGTGGCCATGCTCCTGAACCTATGTTAACATTTTAACCTCATTTCACTAGCAGGAACCACGCCACAACAGTGTGATGTTTGTACGTTTATTGAAGTAACATGTGAATGATATGAGGGGGGTGAAGGGATGATCTGGGAGGATGAGCTATGGTCCGTGCAGTGGGAGACTCAGAGTGGGGGTTCCGTCTCCGGCATGATCTGCGTGGGCTGATTACGGCCCCCAAAAGAGTCGGATTAAAGCAGCTGACTTAAGCGTGTGCGTGTCTGACGTCGTTTAGATTGTTGCGGATGTAAGCGTGGTACGCTTGGGATGACGAGCGGCCGAGGGCCTAGATGGTTGGATAAGAGATGCCCGGTCTAGCTTCTGTGGACGCTGCGCCGATGCGGGAGAAATGGCTCTAATAATGTTCTGAGAATGCCCCCAAAATGTGCGGGATGTTCTGAAAGTGTTTCTGGACCAGAAACGTGTGGCTTGAAAATAACGTGCCCGGAACGAATGACTACATCTTCACTTCTAAATCCAACTAAACATTACCTTGAGGAGTTAGAATGATGCGCGCACGGTTTGCCCAGCACCAGGCCTCCGTTACACTCTAAAGGGAAAATACGTTAGCGTTGAGGTTGGGTTGTGGGGGCGGGTGCTCCTGGTATGAGCGACGCCGCGGAAAGAGCAGATGTGAATTAGGCGGCAGTTAGAGAAAGCAGCCTCGTTCATTGAAGTTATTACACACCATCCTGCCTCCCTGCGGGTGATAGACGGTTAAAGTCTGAGGCGTTGCGTGATGGAGAGGAAAGTGAGTGAGGTGTTTGAGATGGTGGAGTGCTGACTAAGCATGCTGAGGCCGGGTGGGGGGGGTTCTCCGCATGATTGGCAAGAGAGGGATGTGCGTGCTGCGAAGATGCGGCAGTAACGCTCGGAGTCCGGAGCGCCCCGGTATGTTCCCTGGTTGAACTGCTTGATGCGGCCGGCGGCTTGGCTAGCAAAGTTTATTTTAATTATTTTTTCCAGAGAGAGAGACCGGAGCGTCTGCTCACAGCGAGGGTCAGAGAGAGAGACCTGAGCGTCTGCTCGCTGCGAGGGTCGGAGAGAGAGAGACCGGAGCTCTGCTTGCTGCGAGGGTCAGAGAGGAGAGACCGGAGCATCTGCTCACTGCGAGGGTCAGAGAGAGAGAGACCGAGCGTCTGCTCACTGCAGGAGAGAGAGAGACCAGAGTGTCTGCTCACTGCGAGGGTCAGAAAGGGAGAGACCGCAGCGTCTGCTCACTGCGAGGGTCAGAGAGAGAGAGAACGGAGCGTCTGCTCGCTGCGAGGGTCAGAGAGAGAGAGACCGGAGCATCTGCTCAC